GAAACTTTACTAGATCTTGGTTTTAAGTTTCAGATATGATTTAAACTTTACTGGATCTTGGTTTCAAGTTTCAGACATGCTTAAAACTTTACTGGATCATTGTAATTTGTTGCAGACATGTTTAAAACTTTACCGAATCTTGGTTTTAAGTTTCAGCCATGATTAAAACTTTACTGGATCTTGGCTCCTAGTTTCAAAAATAATCAAAATGATAATTTGTTGCAGACATGATTAAAACTTTACTGAATCTTGATTCCAAGTTTCAGACATGCTTAAAACTTTACTGGATCATTGTAATTTGTTGCAGACATGATTAAAGCTTCACTAGATCTTGATTTTAAGTTTCAGGTATGATTAAAACTTTACTTGATCTTTGTAATTTGTTGCAGACATGATTAAAACTTTACTTGATCTCGGTTTTAAGTTTCAGACATTCCTAAAACTTTACTGGATCTTTGTAATTTGTTGCAGACATGTTTAAAACTTTACCGAATCTTGGTTTTAAGTTTCAGCCATGATTAAAACTTTACTGGATCTTGGCTCCAAGTTTCAAAAATAATCAAAATGATAATTTGTTGCAGACATGATTAAAACTTTACTGAATCTTGATTCCAAGTTTCAGACATGCTTAAAACTTTACTGAATTATGATAATTTGTTGCAGACATGATTAAAACATTACTGAATCTTGGTTTTAAGCTTCAGACATTCTTAAAACTTTACTGGATCTTGGTAATTTGGAGCATACATGATTGAAACTTTACTAGATCTTGGTTTTAAGTTTCAGATATGATTTAAACTTTACTGGATCTTGGTTTCAAGTTTCAGACATGCTTAAAACTTTACTGGATCATTGTAATTTGTTGCAGACATGTTTAAAACTTTACCGAATCTTGGTTTTAAGTTTCAGCCATGATTAAAACTTTACTGGATCTTGGCTCCTAGTTTCAAAAATAATCAAAATGATAATTTGTTGCAGACATGATTAAAACTTTACTGAATCTTGATTCCAAGTTTCAGACATGCTTAAAACTTTACTGGATCATTGTAATTTGTTGCAGACATGTTTAAAACTTTACCGAATCTTGGTTTTAAGTTTCAGCCATGATTAAAACTTTACTGGATCTTGGCTCCAAGTTTCAAAAATAATCAAAATGATAATTTGTTGCAGACATGATTAAAACTTTACTTGTTCTCGGTTTTAAGTTTCAGAAATTCTTAAAACTTAACTGGATCTTGGTAATTTGGTGCAGACATGATTGAAACTTTACCAGCTCTTGTTTCCAAGTTTTAGATATGCTTAAAACTTAATAGATCATTGTAATTTGTTGCAGACATGTTTAAAACTTTACCGAATCTTGGCTTTAAGTTTCAGCCATGATTAAAACTTTACTGGATCTTGGCTCCAAGTTTCAAAAATAATCAAAATGATAATTTGTTGCAGACATGTTTAAAACTTTACCGAATCTTGGTTTTAAGTTTCAGCCATGATTAAAACTTTACTGGATCTTGGCTCCAAGTTTCAAAAATAATCAAAATGATAATTTGTTGCAGACATGATTAAAACTTAACTAGGTCTTGGTTTTAAGCTTCAGACATTCTTAAAACTTTACTGGATCTCACAATGATTCAGATTCGGAAAAAATGTTCAAAAATTCTGAAAAATTTATCTTAATTTGGTTCTTTTAGCATCTTCTACATAATGTTTTCGTTCATTGCTCAAAAAATCAGTCCTTAATATAAAGGTTTTTAGCAAAAGTTTGTAAAAGTTTATCAAAAAATATTGTGCATGATTTAATTTTGTATGAAAATTTATGTAAACTTTGATCGCAAATATCTCGAAATCGGCATCAAACGGCATGTCCACATCAATGTGGGAGATAGATTTAAGTTTAATCGATCGATTTATATAGGTTTCAGTGAGGTCTTTGGAAGACTTTTTAACTTATGAAAAGTTTAAGTTTTGTAAAAATACTCAGATTTCAATTGGACTTTTAAGACTTAATAAGCAGTTTTTTATTGAGTTGGTTGTTTTAATATGTAAAGTTAAGCTTAAATTAGCTAGCAACTGCTTCCAAGACATCCAAATAACAACTTAAAGTAGAAAAAATCATATTTTTTTTTCACACTCAAATTGTAAACAAATTTTGGGTGAGATTAAAATAATGATTTCTGGAGTTAGACAGCAACTAGGAACTGCTAGGAACGAGATATTTTTGCTGAATATGCCTTAAGTTTAGATCCTTAATCTGGCATTTAAAAGACAAAGTTTAATTAACATGAAATTTTTGAATTTTTAAACATTTTTTTTCGATTCTGAATCATTGTGGATCTTGGTAATTTGGTGCAGACATGATTGAAACTTTACTAGATCTTGGTTTTAAGTTTCAGATATGCTTAAAACTTTACTGGATCATTGTAATTTGTTGCAGACATGATTAAAACTTTACTAAATCTTGGTTTTAAGTTTCAAAAATTATCAAAATGATAATTTGTTGCAGACATGATTAAAACTTTACTGGATCTTGGTAATTTGTTGCAGACATGATTGAAACTTTACTGAATCATGATAATTTGTTGCAGACATGATTAAAACTTTACTAAATCTTGGTTTTAAGTTTCAAAAATTATCAAAATGATAATTTGTTGCAGACATGATTAAAACTTTACTGGATCTTGGTAATTTGTTGCAGACATGATTGAAACTTTACTGAATCATGATAATTTGTTGCAGACATGATTAAAACTTTACTAAATCTTGGTTTTAAGTTTCAAAAATTATCAAAATGATAATTTGTTGCAGACATGATTAAAACTTTACTGGATCTTGGTAATTTGTTGCAGACATGATTGAAACTTTACTGAATCATGATAATTTGTTGCAGACATGATTAAAACTTTACTGAATCTTGGTTCCAAGTTTCAGACATGCTTAAAACTTTACTGAATCATGATAATTTGTTGCAGACATGATTAAAACATTACTGAATCTTGGTTTTAAGCTTCAGACATTCTTAAAACTTTACTGGATCTTGGTAATTTGGAGCAGACATGTTTAAAACTTTACCGAATCTTGGTTTTAAGTTTCAGCCATGATTAAAACTTTACTGGATCTTGGCTCCAAGCTTCAAAAATAATCAAAATGATAATTTGTTGCAGACATGATTAAAACTTTACTTGATCTCGGTTTTAAGTTTCAGACATTCCTAAAACTTTACTGGATCTTTGTAATTTGTTGCAGACATGATTAAAACTTTACTGGATCTTGGTTTTAAGTTTCAGATATCATTAAAACTTTACTGGATCTTGGTAATTTGTTGCAGACATGATTGAAACTTTACTGAATCATGATAATTTGTTGCAGACATGATTAAAACTTTACTAAATCTTGGTTTTAAGTTTCAAAAATTATCAAAATGATAATTTGTTGCAGACATGATTAAAACTTTACTGGATCTTGGTAATTTGTTGCAGACATGATTGAAACTTTACTGAATCATGATAATTTGTTGCAGACATGATTAAAACTTTACTGAATCTTGGTTCCAAGTTTCAGACATGCTTAAAACTTTACTGAATCATGATAATTTGTTGCAGACATGATTAAAACATTACTGAATCTTGGTTTTAAGCTTCAGACATTCTTAAAACTTTACTGGATCTTGGTAATTTGGAGCAGACATGTTTAAAACTTTACCGAATCTTGGTTTTAAGTTTCAGCCATGATTAAAACTTTACTGGATCTTGGCTCCAAGCTTCAAAAATAATCAAAATGATAATTTGTTGCAGACATGATTAAAACTTTACTTGATCTCGGTTTTAAGTTTCAGACATTCCTAAAACTTTACTGGATCTTTGTAATTTGTTGCAGACATGATTAAAACTTTACTGGATCTTGGTTTTAAGTTTCAGATATCATTAAAACTTTACTGGATCTTTGTAATTTGTTGCAGACATGATTAAAACTTTACTGGATCTTGGTTTCAAGTTTCAGATATGCTTAAAACTTTACTGGATCATTGTAATTTGTTGCAGACATGATTAAAACTTTACTGAATCTTGGTTTTAAGTTTCAGATATCATTAAAACTTTAATGGATCTTGGTTCCAAGTTTCAGACATAATTAAAATTTTACAGACTCTTGGTTTTGAGTTCTAGACATAGTTAATTTTGGATTCTTGGTCGAAACATTTCAAAATCCAGTTCGATCTGTAACCTATAAATCTACTGTAATCTTTAAATAATTGAACGTAACAAAGTACAACGAAGTGAAGTTCAACACACCTGTAATCTATGAACCTAAAAATCTTTATAGTACTTATGAGTAAAAAAATCTCAGATTTCAATAGCACACAAGTTGCAAAATTATCCAAGACTGTAAGCTATACTGAAATAGGATCTACATAAAAAAACTATCTGAGAGCATTCATTTGAGTGATTTTTCAATTTCATAATCTATCGTTTACTAAGTGTGAAAGTTAATGGCTTTTTACATAAGTCGTATTTTTCATATTTATAATTTTAAAAATTGTTATTTTTTTGCGACACTAGAATCATGATTTTCGTTGTAAAACGTGTTTTTAATGCGTGGTATACTTTATTGATAATACAGCAAAATGTTGATATTAAGTCTTACATTTTATTGAGAGAAGATTTTTCAAGATTTTCTGAACAATACATAGAGAGTTCTATAGGATTGTGTGAATATTCCCATGAAGCGTGATCGGCTTCATTACTAGTTTAAAGTTCAAAATACCTTCACTAAGCTAGTAGCTTAGTAGCAAGTAGTAGCTTATAACGAAAAACAGGGTAGGTAAGTATTTTATGGGGGATTTGGAGATAAATTTGATTATTGTTTTCCACAAAAAGGGTCCCATAATAACTTTATATATATATAACCTTTTTACAAATAAAATAAAAAAGAATTAACGGTTAAAAAAAGTTTGAAAATTTAATCCATCTTATTTCAAATTTAAGGGGGAATAACAATAAGTGGGTGAAATAACAGGCAAATCGTTCATTGAAAGAGAAAAATATCTGTTATTGAAAATTAATTTATTTGGTGAATTCAAACGAATAAATTAATAATCCTTGATGGAAATCGATTGATAAGAACGAAAATTTAAGGATAGAATTATGGATAAGAAGGTTAAAAATCAGGTAATTAATCAATCCAAATTAAACAGTTTCAGACGAAAAAAAAATATTGATTTTTCACTTTTATTTAAAGAAAATTTATAAAAATAATAATGATCTCACTTAAAAAGTTTATAATTATATTACTTTTTCATTATCTTTTAAGCCAATACGCAATGAATGCGTACAAGTCATTGTTAGATGTAGACCATTGAGCAATAAAGAAAAGGCAGGAGCTTTTCAGCAAGTTGTTGATGTTTTTCCTAACAGAGGAGTTATCGAAATCCTTAATCCAAATGAGACTACTCGTGAGAATAAGAAAATGTTTACATATGATGCAGTTTACAATGAAAATGCAAATCAACAATCAATTTATGATGAAGTAGTTCGACCTCTCGTTTCTTCTGTCCTTGAAGGCTTTAATGGATGGTAAGCATTATTTTGTGAGTTTTTGCAATAATATGGAAATTTCATTAACTTTTTTGTATTTCATAAAATAAGCTGCTTCGCATATGGTCAAACAGGAACAGGCAAGAGATATTACAACTTTTTTCCGTGTTTTATTTATTCACTAACGAACGTTTGAATTTTAGGAAAAACATATACAATGGAAGGAACAAGAGAAAGTCCAGAAAATAAAGGCATAATTCCAAGAACATTTGAACAAATTTGGTCTCATATTAATCGTACACAAAACATGAATTTTTTGGTTGAAGTATCCTACCTTGAAATTTACATGGAAGAGCTTCGAGATTTATTAAAACCAGGAAATAATCACCTTGAATTGCGTGAACGTGAAAATGGAATTTGTGTTCCTAATTTGCACTCGGTCTTGTGTAAGAGTGTCGATGATATGATGAACGTAATGAATGTTGGAAATAAGAATCGAACTGTTGGATTTACAAATATGAATGAGCACAGTTCTCGATCACACGCAGTTTTTGTCATAAAAATTGAAATGTGTGAAATGGATAGTACAGCTATCAAAGTTGGATGTTTAAATCTTGTTGATCTTGCAGGCAGTGAGAGGCAAAGCAAATCAGGTACGGTTTTTTTTTTCTGACTCATTATTAAACGTTTTTTTAATCACAAAAAACATAATCAAATTATAAGGTGCCACAGCGGAACGTTTAAAAGAAGCAAGCAAAATTAACAGAGCTTTATCGTCGCTGGGTAATGTCATAAGCGCTTTAGCCGAAAAGTCTCCTCATGTTCCATACAGAGATTCCAAATTAACACGTCTTTTACAAGATTCACTTGGAGGAAATTCAAAAACAATAATGATTGCCAATATTGGGCCAAGTGAATATAATTATAATGAAACGCTCACAACTTTGAGATACGCACATCGTGCAAAGACGATTCAGAACAAACCTGTTAAAAATGAAGATCCACAGGATACAAAATTACGCGAATACCAAGAAGAAATTGCTCGTCTTAAAAAGCTCATTTCTGAGCGTCAAACAAAGGAGAAGCCAATTGTAAAGCGTAAAAAATCTGCTCGTGTCCGTAAAATATCAGATTCAGAAAAATCTTCCGAAGAAGAGGAAGAAGACAATAACGACAACAAAGATGTAAATGAGAAACAACTTTTATTACAAAATGAGGTATCAAATGAGGCATTGGAAAGAGAAAAGGAAGTTACAAATGAATTGGCTACAAAATTAGTAGAATTAGAGGGTCAATTAATAAGGGGAGGAAAGAACATATTGGATACTTATACTGAACGTCAAATTGAATTAGAAACTAAGTTAGCTGAAATTTCGGAGAGGAAGGTAAACATATTAGAGGTTTTATATCCTAAATTCAGTCTTTAATTTTTTTGTATTTCTTTAAAGAAACGAGAGATTGAAATGCAACAGCAGCTTGAATTACATGAAGAATCAACAATGGAAATTCGTGAGACTTTTACTTCTTTGCAACAAGAAGTTGAATTAAAGACGCGCAAATTAAAGAAATGCTATGCAAAATGTGTATCCTTAAAGCAAGAAATACAAGATACTAAAGAGGAACATAATCGCGATAGACGTGAATTAGAAATGACTCAAAATGACTTAATTAAGGAACTAAAGCGTCTTTTGTTAATTATTGATAATTTTGTACCTCTTGAAGTAAAATCGAGACTTTATACGCAAGCACATTACGACGAAGAACAAGAAGAATGGACGCTTAGCACAAATATTTTAAATGAGAATCAAATGAAAGTTCGTCCTGTCGCACATATACAGAATCGACGACCAATGTCCGAGTATGCAATGAATGTAATTAAGGCAACAAAAGGTTCCAATATAACTCGATTCAAAAATGAAAATATTATTACTCATGAGCTGGATTTACCTCTTAGAACTACGTATGAGTATAAAAATCCAAAAGTTTCGGCAAGTCTCAAAGCCGTTTTAGACGAAGCAATGAGAACTGAAGATGATATAGACATTACTGGAGAGGTAGATTTTTAGAAATTACAGTTTAGTGGTTTTATAATCCATTTTCTATTTTTTTAGTCTTACGCATCACAGATGAAAGCTCGCTTAGATCGTATCACAAATTCAAATGTTCAGCCTGAGCAAGCGCCATTGAATAATCGTCCTGGTCAGATAAGGGCTCGTTCTTCGGTAAGAACAGCTGCAGAGTCACGAATGAGTCTTATGGAATCTAAAAAGTCTCAATCGGCAATTAAAAACTACCCAAAAACTCGTGGACTCATCCCAAAATAAGATGAGTTTCTCATTTAAGTTTCGTATTCATTATTACCTATCATCTATCATAATTTATCACATTTAAAGCTTAATGCTCGCTAATATTTGCTTATAGGCACCGAGTGAAGAGATTTTCCATTTTCTCAAATCATCACCCATTATGATATTAAAACAGAATTAGAGTGTCAAGAGAGAAAAGATTAAAAATCACATATATATATATATATATAATTACAAAACACTACAAATGCAATTGTGTGCAATTTTATCAAATAACTAAATCCCAATGAAATGAATACCAAAAGAACTATAAGCGGCAAGAAAAATCAAATTAAATACTTTTAAGTTTCCTTATGTTCATTGTGATCTTTTGTTAGTCATATATATTTTCTTTATTAAAAGGTTGTTACTTTATAATTTATTTATGATATTGCGTTAATACAACAAAAATCTCTATTTGAGTTTTGTATTAAAAGTTATTTATTCTTTTGAAGTTCTATTTGAAGCGTTTAGATTAATAAAAAGAGTATCAACGTTGACGATTGGCAGGAGACTTTATTTTTTTGCCGCCAACCTTGAACTGTATATATTGTAAGATCGTGGCTATAAGAAGGAAAATTTAGGCTTTTTAGCAAATTGAATCAAACCAAAATGATCGATTTTAGGAAGAATTATATTTGCAATAATTATTATAATTTACACATATATCACATACGTGTATTTAAGTTTTGAATCAAAGTCAAATTTATAGGGCGCAAAGATGCTTATGTGCATTTCTTTTTGTGAAATTTTATGTGAATAAAATAAAATGGAATTTAAATCAAACATTTGTCTTATTTTAATTTTTTTTTTTATTCAGTTGATTCATTATAATATATTAGCATTTCTGCTTTTTTATACTTAAATTAATTTTTTATAATATAGAGTAAGCATCAACATTAGGTAGTTGCTCATTACAACGGTTGTTCATTAATTAATGATTCGTAAATAAATTCTTTGAGTCTGGTTTTAAATGAACTTATAGAGCTTGCATTTCTTATGAAGTTTGTAATATTATTGTAACTTACAAGGCCACGAATGTAAAATTTCTGAGCTCCTAAATGAGTGTTAGTGGCTTCTATAGCAAAGTTGCTGCGATTTCTTGTACGGAAATTGTGTATTTGACTCATTGTTCCAATCGTGACATTATTTTTACACCAATTGTTAATGATTTTAAATAAAAGAATAAGAGAGGAACACTCGCACATTTTTGAGACTGGGAGGCAGCTGATGGAGTAAAGTTTAGTTTTACTTGAGTACCAATCTTTTTGTAGAACTATTCGTAATGCTTTACGCTGGATCATTTCCAATGCCTGATTGAGATAATTTGGAGCAGCTTGATATATTACACTCATGTACATTATTCTACTTTAATCCAGCTCTTTAATCTAATTTAACAATTCGGAGGATTTTTTTTTCATGAGAAGGACATTAAAATAGACTAGAATGCTAAATTTCATGTAATTTGGTTTTGGTTTTTTTTGAAAAAAAAAACTAGTGTAGAAGTCGCCGTTACAGGCATGAACGGACGAACTAAGCGCATTTTCCTCGCACAGATCAGTAAAAATGTAAACTAGTTTTGCGCAACAATACTTTAAAGTTACTTATCTTAATATTTGATTGTTAAGAGTTGATTAAACCCTATGAATTATTTTAACGGTGTTTGAAAATTTAAAATTTCAAAACCGTACAATTTTCGAAACTCATTGAAAACCATACAAAAAGAATTTGTACTGTGACAATTTACTTTGACCAATAATACAATGAGTAGGAAGTTGGGAACTAATAACCAGGATCTTGTTGGATATAAATCATATACAAGTTACAAAAGATAAAAGGATTCGTAAATAAAAATTTTCATGTAACGGTTTTTTGAGATTCAAATGATTAGCATTCTTTATCATTTATAATACCTAGATATGTTTTAAAATGCAATTTTAAGCATTTTTGATTTCGATCAAAGTAGGCTATTTTCAAAAAAATATCGATTTTATTTCTATATAAACATTCTTTATCATTTATAATACCTAGATATGTTATAAAATGCAATTTTAAGCAGTTTTGGTTTCGATCACAGTAGGCTATTTTCAAAAAATATCGATTTTATATCTATTAGCATACTTTATCAGTTATAATACCTAGATATGTTTTAAAATGCAATTTTAAGCATTTTTGGTTTCGATCACAGTAGGCTATTTTTAAAAAATATCGATTTAATATATATTAGCATTCTTTATCATTCATAATACCTAGATATGTTTTAAAATGCAATTTTAAGCATTTTTGGTTTCGATCACAGTAGGCTATTTTCAAAAAATATCGATTTAATATATATTAGCATTCTTTATCATTCATAATACCTAGATATGTTTTAAAATGCAATTTTAAGCATTTTTGGTTTCGATCACAGTAGGCTATTTTCAAAAAATATCGATTTAATATATATTAGCATTCTTTATCATTCATAATACCTAGATATGTTTTAAAATGCAATTTAAAGCATTTTTGGTTTCGATCACAGTAGGCTATTTTCAAAAAATATCGATTTTATATATATTAGCATTCTTTATCATTCATAATACCTAGATATGTTTTAAAATGCAATTTAAAGCATTTTTGGTTTCGATCACAGTAGGCTATTTTCGAAAAATATCGATTTGATATCTATATAAACATTCTTTATCATTTATAAGTCCTAGATATGTTTTAAAATGCAATTTTAAGCAGTTTTGGTTTTCGATCATAGTAGGCTATTTTCAAAAAAATATCAATTTTAGATCTATATAAACATTCTTTATCATTTATAAGACCTAGATATGTTTTAAAATGAAATTTTAAGCATTTTTGGTTTTCGATCATAGTAGGCTATTTTCAAAAAAATATCAATTTTATATCTATATAAACATTCTTTATCATTTATAAGACCTAGATATGTTTTAAAATACAATTTTATGCATTTTTGGTTTTCGATCATAGTAGGCTATTTTCAAAAAAATATCGATTTTATATCTATATAAACATTCTTTATCATTTATAAGACCTAGATATGTTTAAAAATGAAATTTTAAGCATTTTTGGTTTTCGATCATAGTAGGCTATTTTCAAAAAACTTTCGATTTTATATCTATATGAACATTCTTTATCATTTATAATACTTAGATATGTTTTAAAATGCAATTTAAAGCATATTTGGTTTCAATCATATGAGGCTATTTTCAAAAAATATCGATTTTATATCTATATAAACATTCTTTATTATTTATAAGACCTAGATATGTTTTAAAATACAATTTTATGCATTTTTGGTTTTCGATCATAGTAGGCTATTTTCAAAAAAATATCGATTTTATATCTATATAAACATTCTTTATCATTTATAATACCTAGATATGTTTTAAAAATGTAATTTAAAGCGTTTTTAATTTTCGATCATAGTAGGCTATTTTCAAAAAAATATCGATTTTATATCTATATAAACATTCTTTATCATTTATAATACCTAGATATGTTTTAAAATGCAATTTAAAGCATATTTGGTTTCAATCATATGAGGCTATTTTCAAAAAATATCGATTTTATATCTATATAAACATTCTTTATCATTTATAAGACCAAGATATGTTTTAAAATGCAATTTAAGGCATTTTTGGTTTTCTATCAAAGTAGGCTATTTTCAAAAAAATATCGATTTTATATCTATATAAACATTCTTTATCATTTATAAGACCAAGATATGTTTTAAAATGCAATTTAAGGCATTTTTGATTTTCTATCAAAGTAGGCTATTTTCAAAAAAATATCGATTTTATATCTATATAAACATTCTTTATCATTTATAAGACCAAGATATGTTTTAAAATGCAATTTAAGGCATTTTTGGTTTTCTATCAAAGTAGGCTATTTTCAAAAAAATATCGATTTTATATCTATATAAACATTCTTTATCATATATAAGACCAAGATATGTTTTAAAATGCAATTTAAGGCATTTTTGATTTTCTATCAAAGTATGCTATTTTCAAAAAAATATCAATTTTATATCTATATAAACATTCTTTATCATTTATAAGACCAAGATATGTTTTAAAATACAATTTAAGGCATTTTTGATTTTCTATCAAAGTAGGCTATTTTCAAAAAAATATCGATTTTATATCTATATAAACATTCTTTATCATTTATAAGACCAAGATATGTTTTAAAATGCAATTTAAGGCATTTTTGGTTTTCTATCAAAGTAGGCTATTTTCAAAAAAATATCGATTTTATATCTATATAAACATTCTTTATCATTTATAAGACCAAGATATGTTTTAAAATGCAATTTAAGGCATTTTTGATTTTCTATCAAAGTAGGCTATTTTCAAAAAAATATCGATTTTATATCTATATAAACATTCTTTATCATTTATAAGACCAAGATATGTTTTAAAATGCAATTTAAGGCATTTTTGGTTTTCTATCAAAGTAGGCTATTTTCAAAAAAATATCGATTTTATATCTATATAAACATTCTTTATCATTTATAATACCTAGAAATGTTTTAAAATGCAATTTAAAGCATTTTTGGTTTTGATCATAGTAGGCTATTTTCAAAAAAATATCGATTTTATATCTATATAAACATTCTTTATCATTTATAAGACCAAGATATGTTTTAAAATGCAATTTAAGGCATTTTTGATTTTCTATCAAAGTAGGCTATTTACAAAAAAATATCGATTTTATATCTATATAAACATTCTTTATCATTTATAAGACCTAGATATGTTTTAAAATGCAATTTAAAGCACATTTGGTTTCGATCATAGTAGGCAATTTTCAAAAAATATCGATTTTATATATATAAACATTCTTTATCATTTATAAGACCTAGATATGTTTTAAAATGTAATTTAAAGCATATTTGGTTTTGATCATAGTAAGCTATTTTCATTAATTATCAATTTTATATCTATATAAACATTCTTTATCATTTATAAGACCTAGATATGTTTTAAAATGCAATTTAAAGCATATTTGGTTTTGATTATAGTAAGCTATTTTCATAAATTATCAATTTTATATCTATATAAACATTCTTTATCATTTATAAGACCTAGATATGTTTTAAAATGCAATTTAAAGCATTTTTGGTTTTGATCATAGTAAGTTTTTTTCAAAAAATATCGATTTTATATCTATTTAAACATTCTTTATCATTTATAAGACTTAGATATGTTTTAAAATGCAATTTAAAACATATTTGGTTTTGATCATAGTAAGTTTTTTTCAAAAAATATCGATTTTATATCTATATAAACATTCTTTATCATTTATAAGTCCTAGATATGTTTTAAAATGCAATTTTAAGCAGTTTTGGTTTTCGATCATAGTAGGCTATTTTCAAAAAAATATCAATTTTATATCTATTTAAACATTCTTTATCATTTATAAGACCTAGATATGTTTTAAAATGCAATTTAAAACATATTTGGTTTTGATCATAGTAAGTTTTTTTCAAAAAATATCGATTTTATATCTATTTAAACATTCTTTATCATTTATAAGACCTAGATATGTTTTAAAATGCAATTTAAAGCACTTTTGGTTTTGATCATAGTAAGTTTTTTTCAAAAAATTTCGATTTTATATCTATTTAAACATTCTTTATCATTTATAAGACCTAGATATGTTTTAAAATGCAATTTAAAACATATTTGGTTTTGATCATAGTAAGTTTTTTTCAAAAAATATCGATTTTATATCTATTTAAACATTCTTTATCATTTATAAGACCT